TATATATATATATATATATATATATATATATACTGACTCACTCAATTGTGTTGACAGTGGTTTCATGATTGTCTCTAGAGCCACTATACATACTGACTTACTCAACTGTGTTAACAATGGTATTATATCGTGATTTTTACCAGAACCCCTATTACTGACTTACGTAAATTCATACGCATGTGGGAATACATCACCAAGTAGAGGAAACACTGATCTATAGTGCCACTTAATACAGGAACCTCATGAATGTATTTTTGTGCCCACAATGGTAAATACAATGGAGCTCACTTAAATACAATTCAAAGAAAGGATAAAACATCCAGAATGCGCAATCTCGTTTTCCCTCAGAGCATTCTTGAATGATAAGTCAATGTGCACATCTATAAAAGTCTGTGTCTCAGTTTATTTTAAAGAACTAGTAGAGATTATCATCTAGTTTATACATTTTAAGCACTCTTGAAACCTAAATGAAATCAGTTTTGTACGGCCACACGTGGTACAAACGAAGACACGTAGTTACACAATTCTACATTTCCTTATCATGTTTTATAAGTAATCAATAATCTGTTTAATATTGCACGTTTCAAATTGTATTAAACACCATATTTCTTCATGCTCTGTTCCTTCTGTCATACCAGTTATACGAAATATCTTCCTCTTCAATACACGGTCCAATCAGCTGTCAGACAGCTGCACATGCACGCCAAGCACACGGTAAACGCACGCGCTGTGCCTTCACGTGCCAAGTAACAATATGGGCAATCACACATCCTTTGGTAGAATATTTAATGGATTTTTTTGGGGTATACTCGTCATACTAGGAGAGAGAGAATGGAGTTGCAGATATAACTCAACAGGGGTTGTTACTCAGGAAACTAGACTAACCTCTGAAAACGGGAAGTTCAGAACGGTTATATGTTTAGTTGTGTTTAGAATAACAACTACGGTAGAGTGACATATTATGATTGACCCGTACAAAATATTTGACACCTAAAATCAGTATTCTCTACCTTTATTTTGTCAACGGATTTCCCCTTTGTTCTAGTAAGCTGTTTCTCAGCCGTCAAAGCTAATCTACATTATCAGTTTACTGTTAGGCTAGTTCACAAATTTTTCAAATACTCATCTTAGATTTTAAACCCTTAAAGAGATCGTTTTTTTAAAACTAAATTGGTTTTCATCCACTTCAGGACAAGGGAGGAACGGGAACCCATTTTCTATATAAAACTAGCTTCAGTTCCATAAATTTTGATATTTTTTACAAAATTAAGTTGATTTTCTGGTCCAAAACAACTATTCATTATCAACAGATAAAGATTTTAAAATGAATTTGGTAGCTTGATGTAAAGAGCCGAAAAGATAAAATATAGAGATTAAGTTTAAAAAATACAGTGTTACGTAGTTGTTGTTGTTTGTTATAAAGCACAAAGCTACACAAAGGGTTATTTTTGCTCTGCCCACCACGGGTATCGAAACCCGGTTTCTAGCGGTATAAGTCCGCAGATATACCACTATACCACTGGGGGTCCACTGTTATGTAAGTTGCTCATTGAACTGTTTATTTTCACATTCATTTCGTTTGCGTTTTTCCATGTCTTCCATCAAATATGGAAGACTACAACATTGAAATAGGCTCAAATATCCAGTCTAACTGTAGGAAGTTTCCTGCGAAGTATGACCCCGAATTCTCCTAGCTTTCCTAGCTCACACAAACACGCATGTTGCTTCCGACTATAAATATCATAATTCATATTTTATTACAAGTCATAAAATTTTAATAATAAAAAGATATGTATATAAAAACTAATTTGTTACTGTGAAGCCTAACGTTGATTTGAAATTCGCGCAAAGCTACACGAGGGCTTTCTGCGCTAGCCGTACCTAATGTAGCACTGAAAGACTACAGGGAAAGCAGCTAGTCAATACCACCCACCGCCAATTCTTGGTCTACTTTTTTACCGACGAATAATGGGATTGACCTTCACGTTATAACGCTCCCACGACTAAAAGGACGAGGGTGTTTGGTTGCTTTGAATTTCGCGCAAAGCTACACGAGGGCTATCTACGCTAACAGTCTCTAATTTAGCAGTGTAAGACTAGAGTGAAGGCAGCTAGTCATCACCAACCACCGCCAATTCTTGGGATACTTTTTTACCAACGAATCACTATTCGTGATTGACCGTCACATTATAACGGCTAAAAGGGCGAGCTTGTTTGGTGGGACGGGGACTCGAACCCGCGACCCGCAGATTGCAAGACAAGTACCCTAATCACCTGGCCACCTAACACTGATAAATTAGTCATCAGCTCTATTTAAAATATCTGCCTATATATTGAACATCCTTCTATCTACCCGAAGAAATTTAAATTTTCAAGATAATTTGGATTTGTTAAGTAGCTTTATTAATAAAATGTTTTTGTACATTTTATCTAAATCTTTTTTTTTTTCAAATAAAATAATTTAATTGATTTGGTGTGTTATATCTTGATAGTAGCATTTAAGCGAGGATAGGTATAAGGCTTAGTGGAAAAATAATCTTAACATGATAAGGAGCTCAAAGTTACCGGTGACAAACACACTAAGGCGTATATTTCAGGAAAGCTTTTCATTCTCTTACATGAATATCAGTTTATTGAAAGATCATATTTTGAATTCGGAGAATAACTATATAATCTTATTTTTTTAAACATTAAAATTATTATCTTCCTCTTTTGTTTGGGCTAAACTCGTATTCGATAAGAAAGCATTAAATCTGAAATACTTAAATAAATATACTTACGAATACAGAATTAACCAAACATTATAAATGAAATATTGTTGTACTCCATTGCTATTTTGCAAGAGTTGTAGCAGGAAGTCCAGTAAATTTAAGCATATTATTAATTCTATAGTAGTTTTAGTGTGTTTTGCATTACAATTTCTCACCAAACAAAAAGGTTTAAAGTAAAATGAAAAACGTGATAGTTACAACAAGCTGAAAAGCTGGACAAAACACAGTATTCTGTAATGAAATGTAATAATGTGGATGCAAAAACACAGAACACACCAAAATATTCCACTTGGAATTATATAAGGCTCCAATGGATTATTCCATATTTTTGGCACAGCTGTGGACGAGTTAATATAGCTTGAATCTCGGGACCCAATATGGAATTATGTAAAGATCCAGTGGGTTATTTATTCCTCATCATTAACACAATTATGGATGACGAGGGTTAATACAGCTCGAATCTCAGGACCCTATACGGATTTATCCAATAGATCATTCCTCATTATCGACCAATACAGCTGAGAGTTAATATAATTCAAATCTCATGACTCAATATACAATTTCTTAGATAATGAGATCTACGTATATTCCATAATATTAACTTGCAGTAACTTGAATCTCTAATCCCCATTAAATGAGGGAAATTCAGCATCAAACCATTATTCCACACAATTAACGAATTTAATATCTAAGTAGTACAAGGAATATTTACCCCAAAATTAAATGTTAACTTCAGTTATTCAGATAATACCTTCTTATGAACTCGATAAATCTTAATCCAAAGGAATTGAAAATGAGCAGATTTTAACTCCTCGTACGAGACTAGTAATTTTTCAGGACCTAACATGATGAGTGGTGGCAACTTGATGCAATACCTGATGAAGAGTCACATCGATTCGTTAAAATATCGTCTCAGCCATAAATCTGTTTTACTCTTGAACAAGTAGGGTGGGAAAAAATTCACATTTTCTAATTCCAACAGTAATAAAGAAGCTCCAGTGAAATCGTGTACCTATGCATTTCTTACTCACTGGTAAAGGTTTGGATATCAAACGACTTGGTCTGTTTTCTATTGCTGTTTTATCATAATTGAACATTTCAGAATGCTTCACTTCGGTAAACACAAAACTGGAGAAAAACAAACATGTTACTAAGTTCTTTTTTATAGTACATTTTTAACTGATTAAAAATACTCTCGCGAATACTTGAGAAAAATGAAAAACTGCTGAAAACGTAACTCCAATTCACCGTAAACAAAGTCAGCTTCTAAAAACCTTGTACACTGGCCGGTGAAAGTAAGAAATCCAAATTGAAAGGAATGGTTTATTGCAGGGTGAAAACTCTCAAAATATAATATTAACAGTACCAGATTAACTCTTGTATACTAAATGTCTAAAGTTTAACCTCGACTAAGGATGTCACGATAGTAAAAAAAACGGCGATCTTGAGAATATAAAGCAAGCTATCTTTAATACTTTATCTAAGCCGAATACTTCCAATAAAGCAGGCTGTCTTTAATACCTTATCTAAGCCAAATACTTCCCATAAAGCAGGCTGTCTTTAATATCTTACCTAAGCCGAATACTTCCCATAAAGCAGGCTGTCTTTAATACCTTACCTAAGTCGAATAATAACCATAAAGCAGGCTATCTTCAATACCTTATGTAAGCCGAATACTTCTCATAGAGCAGGTTGTCTTTAATACCTTATCTAAGCCGAATACTTCCCACTTTTTGATATTTCTTGGGTAATATCATAAAGCACACAAACGGTGTGAAGTATTATGCTTTAATATTATTCACGTGAAAATTGAATTTAAGAAGTAGTCTCTGACTTTATTTATACAATATTATTTTATTTTTACAGTAATATCTTTGTGATATCAGATAAGATACGTTCACTGGCATATATCAGACAATTTTTACAAGGTTTTTTTGAATAAATTACGAAATACTAATTTAGCACCTGCTCGTAGAATTATTTTGTTACTTTTGTAAATTATTACTTCACGTCACAGCTTATTTTCACGTCATATGCTTATGACTATAGATTTAATAATCAATAACAGTCTCTTGCTTTCAAACGTGCAGAGAAATACGGCTTACTTTAGGTCGGCGCAACTTGCTATTGGTTTTTACGTTTCTTTAATATTCTAGTAGGGAACGAACGGTCGATTTTATCCATCAATCATTTTATGCCACAGAGTTTCCAGTGCTTCGTCCTCGCTGGTTCTGAAAGTTTCGTGCCATAAACTACCAAAGTTGTCGTATATATAACTAAATTATCTTTGTAACCCAAACTGCCCGTTTTTCAGCGGCTTCTTTTGGCCACAAAGTAATTCATTGTTTACTCTGTAATTCACGAAATCACTTATCACAAAAAAGCCCCCCAGTGGCACAGCGGCGTGTCTGCGGATTTCCAACGCTAGAATTTGGGTTTCGATACCAGTGGTGGGCAGAGCACAGATAGCCCATTGTGTAGCTTTGTGCTTAATTAAAAACAAACAAACGAAACATAAAATGGTGCCCTGCGTTCCTTGTTTCTGAATGGACTGCCTTTCTCTCGAGCTGGTGATGTCGTTGCTAAGTGACTTCCTCCCACGTTTTGCATGGTACCATATTCCTTGTTATCTTCTAATGCCACGTTCGTGCTCTATATCAAATAAACAAAGTTCTTCCGGTTTTTCCTGTTAATTCGCTTCCACATTGCAACGAATCACAACCGAACAATAGTTCGCAAACTAACGTATGTTTTCTTACTTTCCAAGTTACTGTTAAACTTTCTTGCTTACCCTTCCAGGTTTTTACCGTCCTTTTACCTCTCCAAACTGCGGTTTTCTCGTCCTAACTTCTAAGTTTACATTTTCTTCTTTCTAGTAGCATTATATTTTATTGACGCATGTTTTGCCTTTCGAATTTCTTCGGAGCTTCGTAAGCTGATATTTGTTTTCTCCAATTTTCACCGTTATCGCCTTCGTTATCCTTTTGAGTCAACTTCTTCTTTCGTTCAACTTCCCGACAAACTCTGTATACCTTTCTATTTCACTTCTATATTCACAGTAATAGTTGCCTTCAATATCAAATTATTGGCTCTCAGTCTCTGTGTATCATTACTTTCAGTTTTCGTCAATAAACAGTAAAACCTGGTTTCTCTTACACCCCTCTCCGTCAGGCATAGTCAATATGTCACGATACATGACAAGCCAGCAGCAGCAACAGGCAGAGTGAAATCCCGGGACCGACATCAAAACGCTCTTTACTAGCAGCTGACGGTTTCACACGCAGAGCATTGAAACGTTGGAGAGATATGTGAACACAGTTTAAGTGTGGTGGCAAGTGGAGCGTGGCTTAGCCTTGAAACTTTCAACTTCACGTACATAAATAACACCGGTGTATCCAGCCCTAGCCTAATCCCTCTCTCGGTCTCCTATTAAGCTTATCGAAATCATACGTGGTATTACATCGTACACAAGTAGTCGAAGTTCAGGCACAGAAGAGGCTAACTCCAGTAATGGTTCATAAATTCATTGTTGAGATAGACAAACAGACACATGTTTTAAATCACATGTAGTGTAGAATATTAAAAAAATCTCATAGCTAGATTTTCGCATATGCGTATAAAGTTGAGTACGTTATATTAAATTGATTTTCAATATGCAAATCAGCAAATCGAGCGACAACCACAGCAGATATAAAGTCATGGTTTAACTTCATGTATCTCAATTCCATTTTAACATTATTTGGCGTTTACCACCGAAAATGTATCGCTTTTGGAAAGGGTATGTAAAAACCCTTTCCCACACAAGATTTTAATACATTCAGATCATAAAGATATGTCAGATCGAGGAGTTAGAATTTTTTAGGCAAGGATAACCCTTGTACTTAATGGAATTGGAAAACAAAGGGATATGGATCAACATGAGACATCAGGACCACCTAGAAAAGGACATGCAACAAGTCATACCCCATTGACAAAATTCACAACAAACCGAACTATTAACAACGTCATTCTTTCATGTTCGTCAGTTAAGCCTGACAACAGACGTCTGCCTATTAGTTGCAAATCAAAATAATATTTCTTGAAACAAGTGTTTTAAAACATTTAAGTGTCGTATAGATTAATGTTCACTTTTCTTGCGAATTACAGCTAATACTTCTATATTGTAACATACAGCCTTTATTTCCCCGAAAGCGAACCAAAGGCCGCCTGGAGAAGTCACCTGTTTTAACCACTCGCACCACTATACAGTAGTGTGTTTTCTGTCAGTCAGTCAGTAGACACTAAAATTACGTCACATAAGGGACGCTTAACGTTTCAATTTGTTTTGTCGTGAAGTCAGTGAAACGTGCGCATGCTATGAATCACTACATCCTGTAACAGGTGAGAATCCACGGATACGTAAGTCAGTAGGAAAAATACATCCATGTATTCCAAGCAACAGTACACAAAGTAATAAAAAAAATGTTCTCCCGTCTGGAAAAGTGGCACAAGTTGCTTCCAAGACATATCCTTTTAACTGTCGTATATCTCAAGTACCTGAAGAATGAAACGAGTATTCATGATATTCCATACGAACACATACTGGTCAAGTCGCTAGACACAGTGCACGTCCTATTGATTTCTGTGTGATCTGATTGCTGAAACAGTCATTGGAAAAACCGTCGTTCTTGTACACTAGATGGATTATTAAACGTTTTCAGGAAGAACGGGTGTGCTTTGAGCATGAAGCCGTTTGCAATGAAAACAACTCTACAAAACTATTTTAAACATGTATGTTCGTCAGATAGAACATGATTGAGCGTGACGACACGGACTGTAAAATCATAGCGATGCTCCAAAATCGTTTAATATAACATACTTAAACTATGTAATACTGTCCTTCCTGTACTACTACTGTCACACCCTTCCTGAGTTTTAGAGACCCTTTTCAGCTGTGTATACACTATTGTCACTCCCTTCCTGAGTTTTAGAGACCCTTTTCAGCTGTGTCTACACTACTATCACACCCTTCCTGAGTTTTAGATACCCTTTTTCAGCTGTATATACACTACTGTCACACCCTTCCTGAGTTTTAGAGACCCTTTTCAGCTGTGTATGCACTACTGTCACACCATTCCTGAGTTTTAGAGACCCTTTTCAGCTGTGTATACACTACTGTCACACCCTTCCTGAGTTTTAGAAACCCTTTTCAGCTGTGTATACACTACCGTCATACCCTTCCTGTGTTCTAGATACCCTTTTTCAGCCGTGTATACACTGCTGTCACACCCTTCCTGAGTTTTAGATACCCTTTTTCAGCTGTGTATACACTACTGTCACCACCCTTCCTGAGTTTTAGGGACCCTTATTTGTTGTCTTCAAGTAATTTACGTTAGAAAAATACTTTGTAAAAAGGGCGCAGTATTGATTATATAATTAACTAATTTTAGTCAAAGATTATTATTTTTTTTATCTGAGATATGTCTATAAACAATATGTCAAAGCCAAAAAAAGAGAGTAATTAATAAAATATACAGCTGGATAAAGTAGAGAGATTCGTGATTTTAATAACTTTTATTAAATTATAATCGATAAAAATTTTGTCAGTCTCACTGATTTGTTTCATAGTTAATGGACAATCAAATATTTGCCCACTATAATGATGTCATGTCGTCACTGTAGCTAAAAGTAGATTGGATATCAGTAACTTTAAAGGAGTCATATTTTAAAACTGTTTTGTCGCTTTTTGTTTAGCAGGAAGTCTTTGACAAAATGCACTTCCATTTTAAGGTATATTTTCATCAAGTTCAACAACTTAAAATGTCTTTGAAAACTTAACTGCACTGCATTTAATTACTTACGTATCAGTTCACACAAGCGGCGGCTGAAAAACTAACCTGTAAAGTTCGTCTAAACGTGAAAGTTCCACAGGCAGGAAGCTCATTTTCGCGATTAGGAACTCCCAAAGACGAACGAGTAAATTAATACTACATTTCATGTTGTAGAGTAGATGAATCTTTAATAGAATTGCTTGTTGATTCTGTATTTCTCTAATAAATAATATTTTGTGTTAATAAACACAACCTGAACAGATTCCCACTGCTTTCATTATTTCTATAGCGATAATTCAACCCAGCCAGTTTAAGCCTAATTGAAGTCCCTCAGCAATGAAAGAAAGCGACTTTTCTTCCTCTATTGTCAACGGGCCCGCCATGCACGGGTGGTTAGGGCGCTTCACTCGCAATCTGCGGGTCTCGGGTTCGAATCCCTGTCCCGCTAAACATGCTAGCCCTTTCAGCCATGGGAGTGTTATAATGCTACTATTCATCGGTAAAAGAGTAGCCCAAGAGTTGGCGATGGGTGGGTGATCACTAGTTACCTTCCCTCTAGTCCTTCACTGCTAAATTAGGGACGGCTAGCGCAGATAGCTTTCGTGTAGCTTTGCGCGAAATTCACAACAAACCGAACTATTAACAACGTCATTCTTTCATGTTCGTCAGTTAAGCCTGACAACAGACGTCTGCCAATTAGTTGCAAATCAAAATAATATTTCTTGAAACAAGTGTTTTAAAACATTTAAGTGTCGTATAGATTAATGTTCACTTTTCTTGCGAATTACAGCTAATACTTCTATATTGTTATATACAGCCTTTATTTCCCCGAAAGGGAACCAAAGGCCGCCTGGAGAAGACACCTGTTTTAACCACTCGCACCACTATACAGTAGTGTGAGTTCTGTCAGTCAGTCAGTAGACACTAAAATTACGTCACATAAGGGACGCTTAACGTTTCAATTTGTTTTGTCGTGAAGTCAGTGAAACGGGCGCATGCTATGAATCACGAGAAGAATTATGCACTCTGTGGGCTACAACATAGTGTGGCATACGAACTTCAAAAGTAAGAAATAATAATAGTTTTTACTCTTAATTTTGGTTTCATTTACTCTTGAAACATAACACTTTCGGGGACCCTGCGCAAGTACATCTAGTTTATATTTTGATTATCTATTTAGCCTAGTTTTATAAAAAAAATAGATATTTAGCTGAGGTGAGTGTGATATTATAAATTATTTGAACATTCTATAATATTCTTGTTCGCATCTCCTGCAATTAAATCTTATGTCATTATATATGTCTCAGATTTCGATCAATACATATGTCTTTATAATAATATGTTATATCTATAGTTGCATATTTAGTTTCCAAGGTAATGCATTTCTTCATTAAATCAATAGATTTATCGCCCATATATGTGGAAGAATGAGAAATTCTACCAATTGAGCAAATAATAAACGTATAATATATTATATGAATTGAAAGAGGGTGTCAAAGCAGATCTAATTATAGACAAAAACTCTTAACTAGAAACTTGGTTTTGCTTTAAGTACAAAAAATTTGTAAAATTTGTACTGTCTACTTTCTTACTTGCTTACTGCATATACCATGCTAGACTTTTAAACTTCAGCACTACTTGTTACCAGTTTCCGCTGTTTTATGAGTATTTCTACACCGTATTTTATAAAATAAGAAAAAAAATGAAAATATATATAAACTATTTTACATTATAATTTCAAATGTCGTTTAATCTAAACGTTTTTAGTAAACGGGCAGTAAATGGAAAAGATTGAACTCTTTAACATAACCCAGTTTGACGTAGCTGTTTAAAATACATTCTTTAATACTGTTTTATGGAGTGAATATAGCTTTACTGCATATGATGGTTTGATGAGCTCAGAAAAGGTAAAAATCTCATCCAGATGTGGTATGGTTGTTGTCGCCAAAGTGTGGTTATGTTTACATTTTACTTCATGGAGATGGGAAGGAAACCTTGGTGCTAAATTTAGCTGGAAATCTAGATGGCTCCAAACTCTTAATCGAAATTACAGAGAGCAAAGATGCGTGTATATCTAAAACAACACCAAATGCTTGCCACATCTTAATCCATTGAGTGACGATCTAACCCACATATGATCCGCTGTTGAGATCCGACACTGCAGTAAACTGCAGTTATCAGCAACCTATATTATGGTTTCGTTAACTAATACAAAATTCCATAAT